TGCCGTGGGGCTCCAGGCTGCTGGCAACCGACACACGGTGCACGAGGTCTGAGCACTCCATCTTCAGCACAAGGGCAGATAGTCCTGCAGGGAAACGGGCACATGCAAAGTCGGTGCTGCTGACTACGGACTGCTCCATCTTCACACGTTCATCGGCGTCACTCCCATCTCGCACGCACGCGGACACCACGGCTGCCAGGCGGCGCCCCAGGCGTCACGTAATCCGCGTGAATCCTCACATCATCCAGCGTCGTCTCGAACAGCTCCAGCGTCGGCCCGCCCTGCTCCTCGACCTGCGGGTCATAGACGCCGTACCGGCGAAAGAGGCCCGCCGTGAACGTCTGCAGCTCCTGGTACGCCAGGTTCATGCCAATGCACTGCCTGCCGCCCTTGGAAAAGGTCAACGAGCGCCGCAGGAGCGCCGGGTTCTCGAGGTAGCGCTCCGGCCGGAACTCGTCGGCGTCGTCGCCGAACCACGCGCTGTGGCGGTTGAGCATCCGCGCCGTCATGCCGACGCTCGTTCCGCGCGGGATGACCGCCGTGCCGCTGCCATCGGCGTACTGGAAAATGAGATCCTCGTCCGGCGCGACGCGGTCCTGGCGGTGTGTCGCGCTCGCGTACAGACGCAGACACTCTTCGATGAGGGCGTTGAGGTAGGGCAGCGCGTCGAGCTTGATCGGGTCCGGGGGCTGCGTCGGGTCTGGCATGGCCGAGTCAAGCTCGCGGCGCAGGCGGTCGAAGATGGGCCGGTCGTGCAGAACGCGGCAGATGAGGGCCGTCAGGACGGAGGCCGTCGTGTCGGCTCCGGCAATGGTGATGACCATGGCCTCGTCGACGAGGCGCGGTGTGCTCTTTTCAAAGTCGGAGACGTCGCTTCGGATGATTTCGTGGAAGATTGTATTCCTCTCCGGATCGTCCTTGGACTTTTTGATGTCCTCGATCTCGGCTGCGAGGCCCTGGAGGCGTTGTCATTTCGTCAGTTCCCTGTTCCGTCTAACCAGACATGCGCGTCACGAAAAAGGCAGGACCAAAAATGAGGGCTCGCTACTGACCTCG